GGTGTTTCCCAAAGAATTCCTTGCCTGGTGTGCCCTGATCCGGGACACAGGCTTTGGGAAGCTTGATGGGATCCCAGTGTCACCATGCAGGGAGCCCTTTTTCCACTGGGACATCCCAATTTGCCATCCATAAAAATCTCCTTTTCTCCACCGAGTCAACTGGAGGGGTCTTCCAACGTGGATCCAGCTTCCCGGTGCTGTTGGAATGGGAAGGATCTGCTGCTCCACGCGGGTGTAGCAGCCCCAGGGCTCTGCCAAAAGTCCACAGTGGTGATTCCAGCAGTGATTTCCCTCCGCTCCCGCCTTCCCCTCCTTTTAATAGTGGTTGGATCTATCCCGGGAACAACCCCAGCCTTGGAATCCTTCTTTTTCAGCAGGCGAGCGCTGATTTCCTTCGCTTTCCAGCCCAGGATGGAGCCGGGCATGGGTTTATTATTATTATTTGATTTTTTTTTTTTCTCCCTGCATACCAACCACCTTCCCAGGAAAGGGGCCCCTTTCCCACACCCAAGATTAATCCACCCAAAGTAGGGTCGGAAAAAAAGCCCGGAGCGTCCCTTCTCCCAGCCAGTCCCAACCAGGAGAATCCCAGGAGATGTTCACCAAGCCTTTGGTGGATCCCACAAGCCCAGGGGTGACCCCACAGAGTTTCCTCCCAACGCAGATTTGGGGTTGGGTAACTCCAGTCCCCCCTCCCCCCAAAAAAAACCAAACAACTCAGGAAATGCCTAAATTGGTGCTGAGGTTTAAAACCACCAGTTTCATAATCACAGGGAAAATCAAATCACGCTGCAGAAGAGAAAGTCCCGATGAAAACGGACCCAGTGAGGGGGAATTCGGGCATCAGGGAAGCTCCAGGGGGATCCAGGCTCTCCCAGTGTTCTGGTTTGGGGTGACACTGGTGTTGGGTGGCAACTGCTGGTTGTCAGCATCCGAAAATCAGATGAAAAAGGGAGTTTTGGAGCTGCTGGCTCGGGTTGTCGGTTGAGTCATGGATAATTAAAGGACCTGGGGACCTTCCCAGATGGGGAAGTGCTGGCGGCTGGGGGATCCCAGCTGGGGGACTGATGGAGCAGTGGGAATGTGGGAGGGGACAGAGTCAGGCCCCAGAGGTCCCAAGGATGATGGTCCCTCTGTCCCAACTCCATTGCCACGACCTGCCCCAGGGGCTTCTGAGCCCCCCACCCCCAGCAGCTGCAGAGGGACACCCACTCCCTGGTGGAGAACTCTTGGACACTCATCCAACCTCATCCTATTTCATCCCATCTTCATCCCCATCCCATCCCACTCCATTCTGTCTCACTCTATTCCATGTCATTGCATCCCACTCCATCCTACCTCATTCCATCCCATTCCACTCCATTCCCAACCCATCCTCACTTTGTCCCATCCTACCCCATCCCATCTCACCCTCGCCCTGTCCTAACCCACTGCCATCCCCACCCCATTCCACACTATTCTCATTCCACCCAACCCCACCCCTATCCCATCTCACTCTCTTCCTATCCTACCTCGTGCCATGCCATTCCACCACGTCCCACCCCATCCAAATCCCTTTTCCCATCCCATCCCTACTCAATCCCATCCCATCATCATCCTTCCCCACTCCCCACCTCTCCCAGAGGCACTGTGTCCATACAGGACATCCATCTCCAATCCATCCTCCTCTGAGATGGACCATTTTGGGAAAACATGAAAAAATTCCCTAATTTTGTGAGGTTTTCTAAAGTCACTTTTAAATTGGAAACTTGGAAAGTCCACCATCCCCTGGATGGGGGAAGGAGGTGGGATTTGCTCCCCTTTTCCTTCCCCTGTGGGCTGTGCCTGTGCATTTGGGGGGGCCTCAGGACCCACAGACGGGCTGGGGGGGACTCGGGGATGGGGCAAAGACCCTGAGAGGGGCTGGGGGGACCCCCAGAGAAAGGGGGGGACCCTCCAGGGTGTGAGGAGATACTGGGAGGACTGAGGGGGTGTCCTCGGGGGGTGGCTGTGGAGACCCATAAAGGGGGGTTGTCAGAGGCAGAGAGGGGGACTGAGGGAATTGGAGGGGCTGAGGGAACTGGGGGCCGAGGGGAATTGGGGGCTGAGGGGAATTGGAGGGCTGAGGTAATCTGGGGGGCTGAAGGGAATTGGGGGGGGGAGCTGATGGGGAGATTTGGAGGGGGCGGGATGTGAGGAGACCTGGAGGGGCTGAGGGAAACCACAAGGTTGAGGTTTGGGGGGGATGAGATTTGGGGGCTCTGAAGAGACCTGGAAGGCCTGAGGGGAACCATGAGGGGCTGAGAGGAAATGGGGAGAGTGAGGAGGTCTAGGGGGGCTAAGGAAGAGCTGTGGGAGGCTGAGAAGAATGGAAAGACTTGAGGGGATCTTGGGGCTGAGGAGACTTGGGGGACACTGAAGGAACCAGGGTCTCCAAGGAGATTTGGGGGGAAGGGGCTGAGGGAAACCAGGGTGCTGAGAGAACAGAGGGCTCTGAGGAGATCTGGAGGGGTTGAGGAGATTTGGGGAGGTGGGGACATTGAGGAGCCCTGGAGGAAATCGGGGGATTCCCACTGAGGGAACTGGGGTCTCTGAGGGGATCTGGGGGTTTGAGGGGAACTGAGGGGGCTGAGGGGAACCAGGGGCTGAGGAGACATGGGGGATCTGAGGAGATTATGAGGGGTGTGAAGAGATTTGGGGATGTGGGGACACTGAGGAGTCCTGGAGGTGCTGAGGGAACCAGAGGCTCTGAGATCTGAGGGGGCTGAAGGGGCTGAGAGGAACCAGGTGGGTACTGAGGTGGGCTGGAGGAGACTGAGGAGAATGGAAGGAGCTGAAGGGATCTAGGGGTAAAGAGATTTGGGAGGTGGTCTGAGTAGAACTGGGGGTCTGAGGATCCCAGGGGTCTGAGACCTGCAGGGTCTGAGATTTGGGGGATCTGAGGCGATTTGGGGGTGGTGTGTCAAAGGGGAACTGAGGGGGCTGAGGGGAAATGGGGGTCTGAGGAGATTTGGGGGTACTGAGGACACTGAGGGGAGCAGGGGCAGGCTGAGGAGATCCAAAGGGATCCAGGGGTACAGAGACCTGTGGGTGCTTAGAGAACCAAGCGGAGGGTGGGGAGGTTTTGGGGGGCTGAGAACACTGAGGAGGTTTTGTGGGGCTGCAGACATTGGGGGGCTGAGGAGGTTTTGGGGGCTGAAGGACCTGAGGAACTGAAGAAGTTTGGGGGGCTGAGGAGGTTTGGGAAGCTCCCTGGGGCTGAGGAGGGGGCTGAGGACACTGAGGAGGTTTTGGGGACTGCAGACCCTTGGGAGCCCTGTCAGAGCTGAGGAGGTTTGGGGAACCCTGACTGGGCTGAGGAGGTTTGGGGGCTGAGGACACTGAGGTGGTTTGGGGGGGCTGAGGGACCTGAGGGACTGAGGGGGTTTGTTTTGGGGGTGCGACTGAGGACAATGAGGAGGTTTTGGGGAACTGAAGGAACTGAGGGGCTGAGGAGGTTTTGTGGGGGATGCTGAGAGAACCGAGGGGCTGAGGAGTTCTGGGTTCTGAGAGAAGCGAGGTGCCGAGGAGGTTTGGGGGACTGAGGAGGTTTTGGGGGCTGAGGGAACTGAGGACACTGTGAGGAGGCTTTTGGGGGCTGCTGACCCCGGGGAGCCCTGTTGGCACTGAGGAGGTTTGGGGGGCTGAGGAGGTTTGGGGGCTGAGGAGGTTTGGGGGCTGAGGAGTTTTGGGGGGCTGAGGAGGTTTGGTGGGGCTGAGGTTTGGGGGCTGAGGAGGTTTGAGGGGGCTGAGGACACCTGAGGAGGTTTTGGGGGCTGAGAAGGTTTGGGGGGCTGAGGAGGTTTGGGGGGCTGAGAAGGTTTGGGGGCGCTGAGGAGGTTTGGTGGGTCTGAGGGCACTGAGGAGGTTTGGAGGGCTGGGCAACCCGGGAGGCCCCCTGTACCTGGGGTCCCACGGAGCCCCTGCATGGGTGCCCCGGCCCAGCCCGTGCCTGGGCGGGCGGTGGCGGCGGCGGTGGCGGGGCCGGGCGGGCCGGGGGCAGGGGCGGCGGCGGGGGCGGCGCGGGGCTCCATCTTCCTCCGTGCGGCGGAGCCGGCAGGACGGCGAGGGCACCATGGCTGTCGGTATAGGAAGTGTCTTTTTTTTTTTTTACCTTCCCCCTCGCTTTATTTTTTTTTTTTGTGTGTATCTCTCATCCCTCCCTTTCTTCCCCCCTCTCCTTTCTCCAAAACACCTCAACCTCCCCCACTCCGCCGCCACCCCCAAAACCCCCTCACCCCGGCGGCGAGCTGTATGTGTGTGGGTGGGGGGCTCCTCCACACTCCCTCCCCTTCCCTGCGCTGCTTTTATTCGTTTTTCCCTAAATCAAATTTTTTTCAAAATTTTTCCTCCTTTTTCCCCCTCTCGCCTCCCTTCCCTCCCCTCAGCCCTGCAGAACATGGCGTCCCCGTCCTAGCGTTTTAAAAATAAGCCGGGGCTGCCATTTTTGTTTGCCTTTTGTCTGCGAATTTTAATAAAAACGTCTGAGAATGTGGGAGAGGCGGCGGATGGAGGGGGGGGGGGAGCACCCAGCCTGGCCACCCCCTTTCCCAAACCCCCTTCCATCCCCATCCCCCGGCCTTTTTGTCTGGCAACCCCCCCTTCCCCCCCAAATCCCCTCCCAGGTTGAGGATTTCAACTTCACTTAACCAAACTTCGCCTTTTTCCACCTCTTTTTTTCCCATTATTATCATTATTCCACCTCCCCCCCCCACACCCCGCCACCACTCCAAGCAGGAAGAAGAAGGAAAAGAGAAAAAAAGGGGGAGGGGGGACATCGAGGAAAATACCCATTTTCCAGGATTTTCCCTTTTTCTCTCCCTCTGGATGGTCTAATGGAAAAGTTAATTGCAGCCGAACGTACCTATTTTTGTGGATGTTGCATGTTTTGAGGGGGGGGGCGTTCTGCTTTTTTTTTTTTTCTTTTTTAATGCATTCACGGCTTTTTCCTGACGGTTATTTTTTTGCTTACGGGGGGGGGGGGGGCAGAAGCAGCGCAGGGGCTGAATATTATCATTCCCATCACCGTAATCACCCCTCTTCTGATTTTCACCATTTTAATTCCTTTTCTCCTTCCTCTTTTCTGCCTTTCCCTCGCTTTTTTCCGCATTAACCGGTTTTGTCTAGAAAAGTGGTCTCGCTGGCTGGAAGGTCTAAGAGGGAGGTGGGGGGGATGTGTGTGTATTTTTTTTTTTCATGGCGTTTTTGGCAGGAATGCGGCAGCTTTAGCGAGGGACCCAAATTTCCGTGGCCGTGTCCCAGAGGTCTGTCTGTCCCTCTCCAACATATATTTAGCCATATACTATTTATACATCCATAATCTCTCGGCCACGTCGGGGGGCCTGAAGTCGGGGGTGGGGGGGGAGCTTGGAGCCGGTGTGGCCGCAACGCTTCGGACCCAGGAATGCTGAATTTGATGCTTTTGATTTCTTTTTCTCCCCTCAAGGTTGGAGGATGCTCCTTGTTGGGTTATTTTTCCCCCCCAGCCCCGCGGTGCTTGGGATGGCAGCCGGGTTTTTTAACCGGGCCAGGATGGAGCGGGCGAAAGCGGCTTCGAGCCCGAGGCCTTTTGAGATTATAAAGTGATATTTTAGCAGCGAGGTAAAAAAGTTTTTTAAGTCCCTCCCGGCGTGCAGTTTGCCGAGAGGCGGAGGGTCCAGGGCGAGGGGATGGATTTCACCCCCAATTTTCCAGCCAGCTCCCCCATCCCTCCCCTTGCCTTTTCCCGACAGCTTTGGGGGTGAGCGGGGGCTTTAAAAAAAAACCACTTTTTTTTTTTTTATTCTTTTTTATTTTCCCTTTTTTTGGTTGCCTTTTTTTTTTTGGTTGTTGTTGTTGTGTTTTTTTTTTCTTTTTTTTTTTTTGTTGTTTTCTCTCTATTTTCAGGCAAAACCCCACGTTCCCACGGGTCGGGTAGGTCGGAGCCGCTTCGCTTTTGTTCCTCCGCTGTGGGATCTCGCGCGCCGGGGGCTGGCGGGGGGTTCGGGGTGTGTGAAGTTGTCCTCCTCCTTGTCCCCCCGTAGAAAAACGCCCCACGTGCAGCACCCGGTCTCAGCTAGAGCTGGAGATGGACGCGGATAAGGGGAAGCAACGCCAGTACTCGCAGAGGTGGGCATTGATGGCTGGATGGAGGGGGTGGGGGGGGGGAACAAAAAAAATAATCCCTATTTTTTTGTGTGCGTTTCCACGTTGGAATAGCGTTACAACTTGAGGTTGTGCATGCATTTGTGTGCTGGTGGAAATAATGTATATGTGCACGCCACAGTCCAGGTGCTATGTGTGGATATATATATTTATATACAAGAGGGGGCAGAGGGTTCAGGGGGGCTCCCTGCCTGCCCCCTGCCCAATCCCAGCATAAATAAGACCCCTTGATGTTTCCCTTTTAAGAAACGTGCCTTTATACGCCTAAAATAATCGTCTTCTCCCTCGACCCCCCCTCCCCCTCATGTTTTCTTCCCTTACAAACGTGGATTTTCGGGCGGTGGGTGCGATGTCACGACAAGTGCATGTTGTTGGATCCGGCGCGTCCGCTCCCCCCTCAGGGTGAAGCCCTGCCTGTGCCTCGGTGTCCCCGTGTGCTGTCACCACCCCCTGATGTTTAGGAGGGGGTTGGTTGCCCCCAGGCTGGTTTGTGGGCGCTGCCTTTGCCTTGCTGGTCTCCTGGACGGGGCTGTTTGGGGTCAGGGGGAGCAGGACCCCTCACGCTGGTGTGTTTTGGGGGGCACGTGTGCCCCGTGTTTGGCGCGAGCGTCACTCCCACGGGCTCCCTTCGGGCTGTCCCCGTGTCCCTTCGGTGTGTGACACGGCCCACCCTGCGGATTCGGGATCACGCTGCCTCAACCTCCACCCTTTGGGGGCTTCCCCCTGACTTGGGGACCCTGTGGGGGTCCCCAGTGGGGCTTTACCCCCCTCCTCCCACTTGCCGCCGGCGCTTGGCTCCTCACCCTGCCCCGTGCACCCCCCTTCCCACGCAGGGACTCCCGGCCTGACCTGGGGGGCTTGTTTTGGGTAGGTTTTGCTGGAAATGCAGAAGGAGGAGAAGCCCCAACCCAGGGCCCTTTGGGGAGCGGAAGCCGGGGCTTTAATTGATTCCATCTTGGGTGAATTCTTGCGGCGCGGGGGCCACCCCCTCCCCGAGCCACGGGGGGCTCGGGGCTCTCCCGGCCTTCCTGCTTCCCGGCCTCCTGCGCCCTCAGCTGCAGGGTGAATCCCTCCCGGATGAGCACAGTCCGGGCGGGAAGGGATGTGCCTTCCCCGAGGATGGGGCCGGATGCTCCTTCCCACCCCGGTGGCTTTGGCATGTGGGGGGTTTGTGGATGGGCTTTCCCTCCAAAAACCCTCCTGCTCCAGGCAAACCCCGAGGACACTTGTTCTTATGGGGGGGCCTTGTGTTTTGGGGGGAAACTGAGGCACAGCCTGGGCAGAGCTGGGTTCTCTGGCCTGGAACGATGTGGTATCACTGTCCCTGGTGTGGGATTTGGGTGGGGGGACACTCAGGGGACACTCCCCCCCGCTTGGCTCTCGCCCACCGCGCCGTCTCGGGCCGCCGCCGGCTTTCCTGCGCTCGCCACTTGGCACGGGGAGGGCGGGCAGGAGCTGTGCCCCGGTGCCCTCGCTGGGACGCTCGGGGGGACACCACACTGGGCGTCGAGAACACGCTGAGCCACCAAGTGCTGCTCTGGTGTCCCCCAGACCCCTCTCCTCACCTCCCAGGCCCCCTGTTTTCCGGCTGTGCTGGGTTGGTGGTCGCTCGCCGGGCCCCGGGAGCTGCCCCTTGAGCTGCCCCTTGAGCTGCCCCTTTTCTCCCGGCGGTGCCGTGCAAAGAAATCTCTTGTTTCTTTTTATTTCAGCGAAGGCGAGACAGAGAGGGCTGCCAAGGTAGAGGCGTTCCCTAGAGAACTGTAGCTTGACTTAGCGGCAGTTGGGTAGGAAGTTGGAAGGCTCTAGTGAGCTCGTGCCCACCCGTGCCATCATCTACCTCCCATCAATCTGGAGCCTCAGCGACACGTCTCCCCAGGCAGCTGCGCCCACCTGGCTCCAGAGGCCACCCTGTGAGTACCAACCACCTGACGGCTCCGGCACCGCTGCCCCCGCTCCCCCCTCGCCACCCCCAGCCCCGGCTCTCCGGCTTCTCCCGCTCTTCCCTCCCCATGGGAAGGAGGCTTTTGGTCTCTTTTTAGGGCGCTGCCGCTTCCCCCCGGGGCCTGGCAGAGTGGTGATGCCGTGGGAATCCGGGGTTCAGCCCCTGCTTTTGGGGCTCTGTGCATCTTCCTGCTTGCTCTTCCCACTCGTCCCTCGTTCCCGCTTGGGTCCCCACTGTGCTTTGGGCACCCTCCTTGTCCCCTGGGATAACCTTTGCCATCCCTTCAGCACCCAAAGCCAGTGCCTGTGGAGGATGTCGGGCTCTTCCCTCCATGGTTGGGACCACACCACTGGAGGCGTTACCCATGGGGGGTTTCCCTCTGCCTAGCCAAAATCTGGGGGGCACAGAGAGCCCCGCCACCCCCCGTGCCCCGCAGAGACGCGCCGCAGCATTTCCCCACCCTCCACAATTTCCATTTTAATGGATTTTCCTTTTTTTTCCGCCTTTGCTGCATGTCAGCTTCCATTTCTCATAGTTAGCTGAGAATAGAGAAAAAAGGGAGTTTTTTATATATACACATATCTGTATTTTTTCCATCTGCTTTCTCCCCTCTCCCACTCCCTCCCCCAGCCCTGGGAGAGGGGGACGCCGCTCCCGACCAAACACCGCAGGATTTACCACACGAAAAATCGGGACAGGAACAGGGATTTTTGATCATTGTTTTGGCAACGCCGACCATTTCTTCCCTCTTGTTCATCCAGCTCTGAGCACGGTGCTTTTACCAGTAACTCCTTGTTTCTTTTAGCCAGGTGGGGGCGGGGAAACACGTGATATTTATGCTTTTCTCCCCAAAATACCCTCCGTGGCTTTGCAGCCCCTGTCCAGCTTTGCACGGGGTGTCCTGGGGCTGGTGGGGGAGGTTCTGTGCCGTGTCCTGCTGGTGGTTTGGGGGCCACACCGCTGGGGTTCATCCGTGTGGGTGCTGCTGTCGGCTCCTGGCGGGACAGGGAGCGGGACAGATGGACGGATGGGAAGGACAGAGGTCGAGGGGCACCTGCTGGGATGGGGGAGCAGCTCCAAAATTCCCTTTGCTAATCATAGCTCCGGTTTCCTGTTTTCCCACGGCCGCGCCGGGGCGGGGGGTCGGTGCTGGGATTTGGGGGGGGTCGGTGCCGGGTGCTTGGCTGTGCCGAGGGGGCTCGGAGCCCTCTGCCTGTGCTCCTCCTGCCCCCACATCATGAGGGATTCCCTGCTTCCAGCTCTGCTTTTGGCCCCTCTTCCCAGTGTCCGGCCCTTTGTGCCAGTACTAGTCACTCATCCCATGCTCATCATCCCAAGGGATCTTATATATATATACACATGTATATGTATATATGTGTGTTTATGTAGCCAGTGGGTAAATGCACAGCGTGGGCGGCCTGTGGTACATACATAATTACCCAAACACCTGGCAGGGGAAGGTGCATTTCATACTCCCAGTGAATTCCCATTCCATGGCACTGAGCAGGACCCCGGCTCTGCCTGCCCTGCTGGGATCCAGCACCGCTTCCACTTGGAAAATCCAACATTTGGTGCACTGGGGAGGTGACCTGGAGCAGGTCAGGGCTGGGAAAGGGAATTCCCAAAGCTGGTGTCGGGGTCTGCCATGGGAAATGGCTCCAGTTCCCCAGCTCCCCAGAAATGCACCGGTGCCGTCCTGCCCTGGAGCATGAGGTGGGGGTTCCCTCCTTCCTGCCTCAGTTTCCCCACAAAAAACTGGGGGAGTTCATCCCACAGCTCCTTCAGGCTGTTGGGATGCTGAAGGGCTCCATTTCTCTCGGCCTGTGGAGAGCTCAGGGTCTGATTGAAACCCAGGGCAGTGAGCGAGTGGGATGAGGAGGAGGAAGAGGAGGAGAAGAGGAGGGCTCATCACCCCCAAATCCCGCCGCCCCAGGGCTTCTGGGGACACACACTGCTCCAGTTTCTCCCGGGATCCCAGCCATGGCCTGGTTTATTTTGGAGCGGGAGCTCCTGGGGGACCCCTCCCATACCTCCCACCCTTTCCCCTGTGCCCCTGAGGGGATTTGCCGGCGTGGCAGTGCCCGGTCACGCCGGGCCATTCTACTGGGATCACCCGCTCGCCGTCCCCTTCCAGCTGCTCCCCGTTACCCAGGGATGGATTTAGAATTAATTTCCCCAACACCTTTAACGTCTCCATAAATCTCCCAGCCCTGCTGCAGCCGGGGGTTCCCGCCCGGCCGCTCCCGGGGGCTTCGCTCGCCTTTGGGGGAGTTTTGTGGGGGGAATTCAGCTGGGATTTGCCATCTCTCACAGCGGTGTCCTGTCCACCTCTAATTCCTCCTGGATGGGAGGGATACCTCCAGTGCTTGGGAGATATCCCAAGCTTTTTTTCCTCAAATGTCAACCTTCCCCTCTTTCCCAAATTTCATCCGCCGGTGTTTCGGGGTCTCGGAGACGGGCGGGTGTCTCCTTGATCCTGCAGGAATTTCCATCTGGGAAGATGCCTGGGGGTGGTTCCCCAGCCCTGCCCGCTCCCTGCCCTTGCTCAGAGCCTGGGTCTTGCTTGCTGGGGGTGATGGTTGGTTTTGGGGGGTTGGAGCCCCCCGAGGGAGGTGGGAGGGAGAGGGTTCCATGCGGGGACTGGTGACACCCCATAACGTCCCCCTCTCTCCCCAGGATGGCGGAGCCTCGCTTCAACAACCCCTACTTCTGGCCGCCCCCCCCCACCATGCCCAGCCAGGTAGGACCCCGCACAGTGGGATTTTGGGGAGGAGGGAGGATGGATGGACGGGAGAGATGCCCAGGGGGAGCCTGAGGGTCCCGGTTCCTGCACCTTGACCCACCTCTCTGCCTTCCCCCCCCCTCAGCTGGACAACCTGGTCCTGATCAACAAAATCAAGGAGCAGTTGATGGCGGAGAAGATCCGCCCCCCACACCTGCCCCCCACCTCGGTGGCCTCCCAGCAGCCCCTCCTGGTGCCCCCCTCGCCTGCCGAGAGCAGCCAGTCCATCATGTCCCTGCCCAAGCTGCAGCAGGTGCCAGGGCTGCACCCCCAGGCTGTGCCCCAGCCCGACGTGGCCCTGCACGCCCGGCCGGCCACCAGCACCGTCACAGGTACCACGGGGGCCCCCCGGGCCGGGGGGGCGCAGGGGGCCCCCCAGAACCCCCACCTCCCCTCTCCTCGCCCTCGCCAGGGTTGGGGCTGGCGTCCCGCGCGCCCGCCGTCAGCACCTCGGAGTCCAGCCCGGGAACCGGGACCACCACGCCCTCGACCCCCACCTCCACCAGCCAGAGCCGCCTCATCGCCTCCTCGCCCACCCTAATCTCAGGAATCACCAGCCCCCCCCTCCTCGACTCCATCAAGACAATCCAGGGCCACGGCTTGCTGGGAGCGCCCAAGGCCGAGCGGGGCCGCAAGAAGATCAAGGCGGAAAACCCCTCGGGCCCACCGGTGCTGGTGGTGCCCTACCCCATCCTGGCCTCGGGGGAGACGGCCAAAGAGGGCAAGACGTACAGGTAGGCACCCCCCCCGCCCGCCGTGGGGGCCGGGGCGCTGGCGGGGCGACCCCCGCCCCAGCCCGGTCCCTGCGGGGTTCTCCCCCACACCCTCCAGGTGTAAGGTCTGCCCCTTGACGTTCTTCACCAAGTCGGAGATGCAGATCCACTCCAAGTCGCACACGGAGGCCAAGCCCCACAAGTGCCCCCACTGCTCCAAGTCCTTCGCCAACGCCTCCTACCTGGCCCAGCACCTGCGGATCCACCTGGGCGTCAAACCCTACCACTGCTCCTACTGCGAGAAGTCCTTCCGCCAGCTGTCCCACCTCCAGCAGCACACCCGGTGAGGGACCCTCGGGAGGGCTGGGGGACCCTCGGGAGCCCCCTTGGCCGTGGAGGGGGCAGCCCTGCACCCTGACTGGCAGCTCTGCTGCCCTGCTTTGTGGTGCCCGCTGGCCCCGCTGCTGCCTTCATCCCTGCCATGCTCATCATCAGCACCACCATCATCCCTGCCATGCTCATCATCACCACCATCATCATCCCCACTACAATTGTCATCTCCAGCACCTTCATCCTCCCCAAAACACCTTCATCATCCCCAACACCTTTGTCATCCCCAACACACTCATCTCCAGCACTTCTATGGTCTCCAGCACACTCATTGTCTCCACCACCTTTGTCATCCCCACTGTGCTCATCATCTCCACCACCATCATAGCCTTCATGCATTGTCCACCCTGCTTCTTCCTCCCCACCACTCATCGTCTCCAGCACCTTTGTTGTCCCTACTGTGCTCCTCCATCTTCACCCAGCTCATTGTTCCCACCACTTTCTTCATCCCCACCACCCTCATTATCCCCAACACTTTCACTGATCCCATCATGGTCATCTGTCTGCTGTGCCAGTCCATCCTCACCACCTTCATCCTCTCCACGACCCTCATCATCCTCCCTGGAACACCAGTTTGTCTCCGCTGTCTTCATCATCCCCACCACCCTCATCATCCCTGCCATGCTCATACATGCTCAACACCTTCATCATCCTCTCCACCTTCATTGACCCCACCATGGTCATGTGTCTGTGCTGTGCCAGTCCATCCCCACTGCCTTCATCATCTCCACCACACTCATCATCCTCAACACCATCGTCCCCACCATGCTTATCATCCTCAACACCTTCATGCTCCCCACAACCTTCATCCTCCCCACGATCTCCACCCTCTCCTCTCTCCCAGCCCCCACATCCCCCCCCTTTGCCGTGTCCTGTGGCATCGGTGCTGCCGTGCCATGGTGGTGGCAGGTTGGTGACTGTGTGTGTGTCTCCAGAATCCACACCGGTGACAGACCCTACAAGTGCCCCCACCCCGGCTGCGAGAAGGCCTTCACCCAGCTCTCCAACCTCCAGGTCAGTGCAGGGGGCCTGGGCTGACACTGGGGGCAGGGCTGCAGCGGCAGGGGGATAAGGGGGATCCCCCCAGCCCTGCCTGACCCCCCCTGCCTGCCCCCCCAGTCCCACCAGCGCCAGCACAACAAGGACAAGCCCTACAAGTGCCCCAACTGCTACCGGGCCTACACGGACTCGGCGTCGCTGCAGATCCACCTGTCGGCCCACGCCATCAAACACGCCAAGGCCTATTGCTGCAGCATGTGCGGCCGTGCCTACACCTCGGTGAGCACGGGGGGCACCCCTGACACCCCCCTGGAGCCCCCCAGAGCCCCCCCCGGGCCCCCCTCATCCCTGTGCCCCTTCCCCAGGAGACCTATCTGATGAAGCACATGTCCAAGCACACGGTGGTGGAGCACCTGGTCAGCCAGCACTCGCCGCAGCGCACCGAGTCCCCCGGCATTCCCGTGCGGATCTCCCTCATCTAAGCGGGGAGGGGGGGCAGCAGCAGGACCCCCCCAGCACGAGGAGGAGGAGGAGGAGGAGGAGGAGCCCCCCCCGGCGCCGCGGGCCGTGCCCCCGCAGGTTTGGTGACACCCAAAGACGGTTTCAGAGCACTTTGAATCTCTGCGGTTTGGTTTTGTTTTTTGGGGGGAAGGGGGGCACGTAGAGGTGGGGGAAGGAGCAGTGGGGGTGGGGACATCCCCTTGCCCCCGCTAGGCCCTCCACCCCCTACCCCCGTTTTTGGATACAAATATATATATATATTTATTGGCCAAGAACTTGGTGCTGCTAAAAAACCAGAAATTAACCCCAAAAACGAACCGTGGATGGAGCAAAAACGCAGCGGGGAGAGGGGGGGCCCCCCTGCCTCTCCCCTGTCCCCCAACGGACTCTGGGCCCCAGCGCCTCCATTTGGGGTTGATTTTTAACCATTTTGGAGTTGGTTTTTTTGTGTTCTTTTGGGGTCCCTTTCGAGGGCAGAGCTGCGTCCCCCCCGGGGCTGGACCCCCCATCCCACAGCCCCGCTTTTGGGGGGTCTGGGGGGTCCCACCGCTTTGCCTTGTGCCTGCCTGTACATACCCCCTGTATAGAGCCGGGGGGGCCACCCCCCAAACCTCATCTATATTCTGTACCTTTTGGTTCATTTTGGATATTAACTGTGTTATTTTTTATACACTTTTTAAGCCTTAACTCAGCGTTTCTTTGGTTTTTTTTGTTGTTGTTGTTGTTTATTTTGTTTTGTTTTTTTTCAGGGTGTTTTATTTACCTTTTATTAATTTTTAACCCCTGTTCTTTTTTACCCCCCTCCCCCCATTGTTTGTACCCCAGTTCTTTTTTACCCCCCCATTATTTCCCCCCTCGATGTTGTACGATATCAATATTGTAACCTTTTTTGTCAGCATGTTAATACTGTGTAAATAAGCCTCTTATACACAAACCTCCCCCCTTTTTTCTCCAACCTCCCCCCACCCAAACCCCAAATTTTGGGGCTTTTTTATTTTCCTTGCTGCCCAGCCAGGCCAGGCCCCCCTAGATCTAGTTGGTACCTTATTAAAAAAGGGGAAAAAAAGGTTAAAAAAAGAGAGAAAAGAGGAGAAAATGGATAAAAACAGTTGCCCCCCCCACTCTGTTCTCTCCTCCCACCCCTTACCCCCAAAATCCTGCATTGTGGTTCCTGGAGAAGCTGGGGGGAGCACAGCCTCGTGGTGTGGAAAGGAGGGAACCCCCAACCCCTTTCCAAAAAAGAGAATAAAGAGAAGAAAAAAAAAGAACAAAACGGGAATTAATGATCGTGGGGGGGAGGTGGGGAAGGATTGGGGGGGGCAGCACTTTGGGGACGTTTGGGGTCAAAGCCTGGGGGGGTCCCTGTGGGGTGGCAGCAGGGGAGGGTGGAGCTGTCCCCAAAGTGTCCCCAGGGATGGGGTGGCAGTGCCACACACCTGGGGGTCACTGCTGTCTCGGGGTGAAGGTGGCAGGTCCTGGTCCTGGGAACAGGGGGGTGAGTGACCCCAGTGAGCCACTTTTGGGGACATCAGCTCTGGGGACAGCCCAGTGTGGCCACCACTGTGGGGACACTTCACCATGGCCACCAGCTCTGGGGTCACCTGACTGTGGCCAGCAATGTCAGGGACATGGCAGAGTGGGTGCCACCTCCAGGGACACAGCTCTGGGACACTCCCAGGGCCACCAGCTCCAAGGATGTGTCACCACCAGGGCCACCAGCGCTGGGGACACCTGAGCACAGGTGCCACATCCAGGGTCACCTCCCCAGGGACACTCCACCCTGGGCATCAGCTCCAGGGATGTGTCACCCACCTCCAGGCCATCCCACCCCAGGGGGTGTCCCCTCCTGTCCCCCTGCCCTCCTTTGGGGTCCCCTGTGGCCCCCAAGCACTGGGATTTTGGGGTCACCAGTGTCACCACAGGCTCTGTGAGGGGGGACCACACCCCCCAGATGTGGGGGGCAGCAGGGACCCCCCTCCCTGGGTCACAGGGGATGTGGCACCACCCCCACAGTGACACCTGGGCACAGCCCTGAGGTGGCACTTGGGGACACCCCTGCAGTGCCACCTCACAGGGAATTGGGGGGGTTGAAGGCACAAAAGGTGGGGGTCCATTTTTCTCTGTTTTTTTCCGTGTTTATTAAAAACAACCCAAAATCCAGCCCAGGAGGGGAGGGGCCGGGTTTTATTTTTTTTTCCTATTTTTTTTCCTTTTCTTTTCTTAAAAAGGCCGCGGTGGCCGTGGGGGGTGGGAGAGAGGGAGTGGGGGGGTCCTTACCTGCCTGGGGGGGGCCCCCCCTTCCCACCATCCTGTACTGAGGTGCCCCCAAACCAGCCCAGCGTGGGGGGGGGTGTGTGTGAACCCCACCCCTCCCCAACCCCCCCCTCCAGGGACCCCCAAAATCCCAGCTGGGGGAGGGGCTCACATTAAGGCAACCATCCTGCTTGGCCCTGCCGACTGGGGAGGGGGGTGTGAGGGGCACGGGGGGGACGTGGGGACCCCCCCTCCCTGCCGGAGAAGAGGGGGTGACCCCCCAGACTGTGAGGGGGGGGCTCTAAGAGCTACGGGCTATTTACACCCCCGGGGGCTCCCCGGGCTCGGGTTGTGCTCACAGGGGTCTCCCCCACCACCACCCACCCCCTCCCCGGGGCCAGGGGGGTGTTTTGGGGGGTCCCGTGGGGAGGGTGGTGGTGTTTTGGGGGGTGTCCCTCCCCCCAGTTCAGGAGTCCTTGAGCATGTTGATGCGGGCGTAGATCTTGAGGGCGGGGCCCAGCTTGATGTTCATGGTGCTCATCAGATGGTCCTCCTTGAGCAGCAGCAGCGCCTGCCCATCGATCTCCTGCGCCCGGAACTCCTCCGCGATCTCCTGGCAGCCTGCAAAGGTCGGGAATGCCGCCAGGGCCTCAGCTGAGAGCCCCTCACCCCCTCCAGGGGGGATGGAGGGGGGAGCGATTCCCCCTCAGGAGCGTGTTTAGGGGGTTATCGGTGTGTAAATCCCCCCCAAAAAACACAGGTATGGGGTTAGCATTGTGTAAATCCCCCCAAAAAATATATTTCTGGAGTTATCAGGGAGTAAATCCCCCCCAAAAATACAGGTATGGGGTTATCAGGGGGTAAATCCCCCCCCAACAATTATGGATGGCGTTATCTGTGTGTAAATACCCCCCCAAAATACGTTTATGGAGTTATCCATGTGTAAAATCCTCTCCAATGCATTTTTTATGGAGCTATCCGTGTGTAAATCCCCCCCCAAAAAATACATTTATCCGGGAGTAAATCCCCCTCCCCAAACTACTTACGGAGCTCTCCATGAGCAATCCCCACATTCCTGGGGTTCTCTTGGAGCAGTTCCCCCAAACTCCACTCGGGAGGTTCTCCCTGAGCAGACCCCATCCCCAATCCCATTCCCAGGGCTGTCCCTGGTCCATCCCCCCCCAGTTCCCGGGCCGTGCCCGTTCCTCACCGGGCAGGGAGCGGATGAACTCGTACACGTCCTCCACGTTCCACTTGCTGGGCTCGCTGGGCAGGAAGCGGTGGCCGAGCCCGGGCAGGTCCCGGCCGTGCACGTCGGGCAGTTCCATCTCCCGCAGATCCAGGTCCCGCTCCCCCTGCCGGCGCCGGGACGTGGAGGAGCTGGCGGAGATGGGCGACAGCGGCTCCTCGTAGCTCGAGTTGTCGGAGCAGCGGCTCGAATCCTCCTGGCTGTGGTTGAGCTGCGGCGACAACGACGGCGACGCCGCTGGGACACGGCCCGGGGGCTGCGGGGACAGCGCCGGCACCAGCGCCCAAAAATGGGGACAAACACCAGCCGTGGTGCCCCAAAAATGGGGACAAACCTCACCCTCAGTGCCCATCCCTGCCCCCAAAATTCAGGGACAAACTCCGGCCTCAGCACCCCCATCATGTCCCCAAAATACAGGGACAAACCCTGGCCTCAGATTCCACCCCATGTCCCCCCCAAATGGGGACAATCCCAGGCTTAGTGCTCAACCCCTCCACAAAATTCAATGACAAACCCCAGCCTTGGTGCTCAACCCATCCCCAAAAATGGGGACAACCGTCGGCCCCAGCCCCCAGCCTGTGTCCCCAAAATTCAGGGACAAATCCTGGCCTCAGCACCCACCCCGTGTCCCAGCTGCAGCCTCAGTGCCCAGCCCGTGTCCCTGGAATTCTGTGACAAACCCTGCCTTGGTGCCCCCTCACCTGTTTCTTGCTGTCCTTGCCCAGGGGGGGCAGGGTCCCTTTGCAGCTGCGGCGCCGCCCGTGGGGGGGCCCCCCCGGTTTCTGCAGTTTGGTGCGGTCGGGATGGAACAAACCCACCCTCTTGGTGCAGCCCACGTTGTACCTGCGGGGGGACACGGCTCAGGGGGAGCCACCCCACGGGAAGGGGGGGGTTTGGGGTTTACCCCCACCCTCCTAAGTGGATTTTGGAGTTATCTCCACCCTCCTGAGTGAATTTCGGGCCTATTGCCACCCCATCAGGTGGGTTTTGGGGTTCTCTCTACCCTGATGGGGTGGAGGTCAGGTGGATTTTGGGGGTCACCCTCACACTGCTAAGTGGATTTTGGGGTTATCCCCATCCTGCCAAGGGGGTGGGTGGGTTTTAGGGGTCCCTCTACCCCACTGGACGGAGTTTTGGGGTTCCCTCTACTCCACTGAGGGTGAGGGAGGGGCAGGTGGCTTTCAGGGTTACCTCTACGCTGCCAAATAGATTTAGGGGTTACCTCTATCCTGTTGACATGGGGAGGCCGGGTGGGTTTTGGGGTTACCCCCATCCCCAGATGGACTTTGGGGTTCCCTCCATTCCCCCAGGCACATTTTGGGATTACCCTCCTTCCACCAGACGGATTTTAGGGTTTTCCCATCCCCCCCCAAAATGGATTTGTGGGTCTCCCCACTGCTCAGGTGTGTGCTGGGGTTACCTCTTGGCACAGGCCATGGAGCAGAAGCGCTTGGAGCGCTTGAACTTGTAGGCGAAGTCGACGCGGCCGCAGAGCTCACACTTCAGCTTGGGGGGGTTCCCCTCCTCTTTGGATTCTGGGGGGCGCGGGGGGACACCCAGAGAGAGAAACAGCCAGCTCAGCCCCCCTGTCCCCCCAGGGAGGAGTTTTTGGGGGTGTTCTGGCGGGGATTTGGGCGCTACCTTGCAGGTAGGGCTCCTCCATGTCCGAGTCGGTGGTGGTGGTGTTGTCCTGCGGTGGCAGCTTGTCCGGGAGCAGCTCCTGCGCATACTGTTTGTGCAGGGCCCCCACCAGCAGCGAGGAACGCCCCACCTGCCACGGCACAGCACGCGTGGGGGGGCTGCCCCTGCACCCCCACACCCGGGAGAGCCCCACCCTGCAGCCACAGAGCCGGGAGGAACTGCCCAACTTCCCAAATCCAGGGAATGTGGTGCTGCGGATGGCTCAGCCCCCTCCCGCGTGGTGATAATGTGGGTGTGGATTTGGGGGGTCTAACAATTGTCTGGGGGCCCAACAATTGTCTGGGGGCCCCATTTGCAGCCCCTTAAATGTGGGAGATCCCCCTCCTGCAGCCACAACACCAGGAGGAACAACCCAACTTCCCTGATTCAGGAACGGGGACAAGAAATGTTGTACCGGGACAGCTCAGCCCCCTCCCGGGTGATGAAATGTTTGATAATGGGGGTAAGGATTTGGGGTTCGTGATTGTCTGGGTGCCCCATTCCCTATTCCTAACGTTGGGAGACCCCCCTCCTGCACCCACAGCCAGGAGGAACTTGCCCAACCTCCCGAATCCAGGAATGAGGGTAGGGGATGAGGTGCCAGGGACGGCTCAGCCCCTTCCCAGGTGACAAAGAGCTCAATAAGGTGGGTGAGGACAGTTGATCACAACTGTCTGGGTGCCCCATTCCCAACTCCCTAAATTTGGGAGACTCCTCCACCCTGCATCCACAGAGCTGGGAGGAACTGCCCGACTTCCCTGATCCAGAAATGAGGACAAGAAATGGGGTACTGGGAGGGCTCAGCCCCCTCCCCACTGATGATAATGTGTGTGTAGATTTGGGGGGGCCATAACTGTCTGGGTGCTCCATTTTCAGCCCCCTAAATTTGGGAGACCCCCCTCCTGTATCCACAGAGCCGGGAGGAACTGCCCAATTTCCCTAAACCAGGAATGAGGACAAGAAACGTTGCATTGGGATGGCTCAGCCCCCTCCCGGGTGATGATAATGTGGGTGTGGATTTGGGGTCTAACAATTGTCTGGGTGCCCCATTCCCAACCCCTAAATGCAGGAACCCACTTCCCAATTCCCCAAATCCAGGAAGAAGGACAGGTAGAGGGGGATACATTACTGGGAATGTACAGCCCCTTCCTGGATAATGAAGAGCTCAGTAATGTGGGAAAGGATTTGGGGGTTCCCAATTGTCTGGGAATGGGGCACCCAACCCCTCAAACCCAGGAGGAAGGACATGGAAATGGGATACGTTACCTGGAATGCTTCTGCCCTTTCCTTTATGCCTCATTCCCAACACCCCCAAATCCAGGAATAAGGATATGGATACAGGGATACATTACAGGGAATGACTCAGCTCCTTCCTGGGAGATGAACCCCTCAATAACACGGGGGACAATTTGGGGTTACCCTTCCAGATACCCCAAATCCAGAAGCTCCTTCCCAAACCCCCAAGTCAGGGGATAAGAGCATGGAGTGTGGGATACATCACAGGGAACAGCTCAGCCCTTTCCTGGGTGAGGATCTGTGGGGTCAAGATGGTTTGGGGGCCCCATTCCCAACTCCCCAAATCCAGGAGTTCATTCCTAGCCCCCCCCCAATGCCTGGAATACAGATCTGGAAAGTGGGATACATTACCAGGAACAGCTCAGCCCCTTCCTGGATGGTGAACCCCTCGATAACACAGGGGAGGATTTGGGGGTTCAAGACAATTTGGGTGCCCCATTCCCAACCCCTGGAACACGAGTCTGGATTGTGGGATACACTGCCAGGAACAGCTCAGCCCTCTCTTGGATGACAAACCCCTCAGTAACACAGGGCAGGATTTGGGGGTTCAAGACTGTTTGGGTGCCTCACTGCCAACCCCTCCAGCACCCCAATCCCTGGAATACAGGTCTGGAAAGTGGGATACATTACCAGGAACAGCTCAGCTCTTCCTGTATGAAGAAACCCTCGATGATGTGGGTGAGGATCTGGGGGGGGTTCAAGCCACTCCAGGTGCCCCCATTCCCCACCCCTCCACCCCAGGATCCCCTTTCCCACCCCCGCAGCCCCCGGGATACGTTACCGGGAAGGGCTCGGCGCCCTCCTGGATGACGAAGCCCTCGATGACGTGGGTGAGGATCTGGGGTTTCACGATGGCCTGGGGTGGTTTGTTCTCACCATTGTGGGGGGCGGCGCCGGCGACCGTGGCGGCAGCGCTGCCGGAGCCCGAGGTCATCCCGGGAATGCGGGGCTGCGCATGGAGGCGCTCGGGGGGCTCTGGGGACACCCCGGGAGGAGGGGGGGACACACACAGACACAGACACAAGGAGCGGGGTCAGGTGACGGTGACGCGGGGCCGTGATTTCCATACAGCTGGCACGGGCGGCAGCTGCGCCGCTCCCAGGGAGGGGGGAGAGGGGGAGAGACCCCGGAATAGCCCGGACACCCCGGGAAGGGCCGGGAAAGGCTCAGGGAGGCACCGGGTCAGCCCCAGTGAGGCCCCGGCCAGGCTCGATCTCCCCCAGGAAAACCCCGATCTCCCCCAGTAAATCCCCAACCTCCCCTACTAAACCCCCAATCTCTCCCAGTAAGGCCCCAATCTCCCCCAGTAAATCCCCAATCTCCCCCAGTAAGGCCCCGGCACGCCCCCAACAAAGCCCGAGCGAGCCCCGCAGAGCCGCCATCTCCCCCCGCAAAGCCCCGAACTCCCCGGGCAAGGCCCCGCTCCGTCCCCACAGCCCCCGGGACGCCGCGGCAAGGCCCGATGTCCCCCGCTACGATCCCGGCACCCCTCGCTCGGCCCCGGCCCGGCCGCCCCTCCCCGTGCCCCCTCAGGGCCGGCCCGGCCCGGCGGGCCCCGCTCGGCCCCGGCGGCCCCATCACCTTTGTCCGGCGGCGGCTCCCGCTCCGCCGCCCCTCCCTCGCCGGGGCCGCGGGGCCGGGCCGCGCCGGGGGCGGATGCGGAAGTGAGGTCAGAGCGTTGGCCGCCGCCCCAGCGGGCCCGGCCCGCTCGCCCTGACTCACCGTGCGCTCAGCGGGTCAGGGGGCCATGGCGGGGGCCGGGCCGGGGGTGGCGGCAGGAGCGGCCCAGGAGCGGGGCCGGGGCCGAAGCGGGGACAAAGGCGGCGGCACAGGGGGCGGGGCCAGGGGCGGGACACGCCCCCCCGCTCAGCGCCCATTGGACAGCGCCGCCGCGCGCGCCACGGGGGCGGAGCCTCGGGGATGGCCACGCCCCCTCCCCCCACAGCTCGCCCACCCTCGCGCGTCCCCGACGAGAGGGCGGAGTCTCGCGCTGAGGGGCGTGGCCTTGGCCCACACAGGGGAGGGAGCGCTCGCTGACCACGCCCCCTCAGCGCAGCCCGCGCTCCCGGAGGGGCGTGGCCATTACCCCGGTCTGTGGCCACGCCCCATGTGTCGTCTTAGAAGGGGCGTGGCACTGTGGTGACCACGCCCCTCCCCTCGAGCCACCTCCGCGTGTGACGCTGGGCGCCCCCTGGCGGCCGCTGCTCTGAGCCCGCAGCCCCCCCTCCCGTGTCACCCGCGGGTGACACCGCGGACACGCGGGGGGCTCAGGGGACCCCGTGGGGTGGGCGCTTACCGTGGGTGGGGGGCCGCTCGCCGTCGGGGGTGGCGGGGCCCGCGGGCGCGGCGGGCGGGGACAGGGCGGGGGCGGCGGCGGCGCGGCGGGCGGGCTCTCGGCGCTCCTCGGCGCGGGCAGCGGGTCCCGGCGGGCGCCCTCGGGGACACCGAGAGGGGGCTGCGGCGGCGGGGACACGCGGGCACGGTCAGGGTGGGCGGGGGGACAGGGGTGCACAAGGGTGGGCAGAGGGGCAGGTGTGCACAAGTGTGCGCACAGAGGTGTGTGGATCAGGGTGTATTTGGATCGGGTGTGTGTGTGGATCAGGGTGTGTCGATCAGAGGTGTGTGTGGATCAGGGGTGGGCATGGTGAGGTGTGGGAGGCACGTGGGCATGCACATGCATGGCTGGAGGGTGCACATGTGTGCCTGGGTTTGGGCATGCACATGCACACACGTGTGCCATCAAGCACAGGTGTCTACACACAGGCACACATGTGGTCTGGCACACGTGTGGCACACACGTGTACGCAGACAGTGACAGGTGTGCACACACATGGAGTGGACACACATGTACACAGGTACACACGTGTGTGCACACGTGTATATGAGGGGGCAGGGGGTGCACACACACATCAGCCACGAGGATCAAGCACGGGCACACACATGTGATGGATGAGGCCAACCTGTGCACATGTGCATGGAGCAGGTACACGCATGCACAGCTCAGGTACACACGTGCACACCTGCACATACGTGTGGATCACACATGTGCAGGGCTGGGGCCCACCCACCCCCCTGTGCCCAGCTCAGGTACACACGTGCATGTGCACACACACACGTGCACAGTCACACCCCTGCACACCCACACACGTGTGCACACACACCTGCCTCCCCAAGCCCCCCATTCCAACCCCAGTGCCCCCAGCCCTCCTCCCCTCCTGTCCCAGGGGGTTTGGGGATCCCTCACTGTGAGGGTTTTGGGGGGTAGGTTTGGGGGCTGCTCACTGCGAGGCTTTGGGAGAGGGGGCTTTGGGGGCCCCTCACTGTGGGGATCTGGTGGAGGTGGTTTGGGGACCTCTCGACACAGGAGGTTTGGTCGTCCCTCACCACAGGGGTTTGGGGGCTCCTCGCTGTGAGGGTTTGGGGTGGGGAAGTTTGGGGGCCCCTCCCTGTGGAGGTTTGGCATGGGGAGGTTTTGTTTTGGGGATCCCTCACCATGGGTGTTTGGTTCAGAGGTGGATCTGGGGGCACCCTCACCGTGGGTGTTTGGTTTAGGGGTGGGTTGGGGGGGTCCCTCACCATCAGTGTTTGGTTTAGGGGTGGGTCTGGAGACCCCTCCCTGGGGAGTTTGGTTTAAGGGTGGGTTGGGGGTCCCTCACTGTGGGTGTTTGGTTTGGGGAGGTTGCTTTGGGGACCCCTCCCCTGGGGGTTTGGTTCAGGGGTGGGGCTGGGGGTCCCTCACCGTGGGCCCAGCGGGCTGCAGCTGCAGGATGACGGCCGATGCGTGCTGGAACTTGCGGGGTGGGGCCGCGTGGCAGCCCCAGGGTGCCCGTTGGGAGGCCCCTCGCCCCCCGCTCCCTGCGGGACCCCGCCTTGGGCTGGGGGCGGGGCCGGGGCTGGCGGGGGGCAGGGGCTGCAGCTGGGGGGCACCGGGGGGGCCCGGGGGAGGCTGCCCACGGGGGCCCAGCGGCTGCTGCTGCTGCTGGATCACGAACTGCTGCTGCTGCTGCTGCTGCTGGGGCTGCACTGGCTTCGGGGGCTGCTGCAGGAACTGGGGGGGCTGCAGCGGGGCGTAGGCTGCGGGGACAGCAGGGGGGACAGGGACCCCCCCCTTGTCACTGCCACCTCAGTCCCAAGGGACCCTGACACTCCCCCCCCCACCCAGGGTCCCCCTGAGGTGCTGCTCACTCTGGTGCCCACAACACCCCGCTGTGCCAGTGCCCACCGCCGCTGCTGCGGGGGGAAAGTTGGGCTGCGGGTCCCACATTTTGGGAGCCCCACCAGCACAGCACCCCCAGGCTCCAGCCCCCATGGCCCACACCCTCACTGCCCCAGCCCTCTGCACCCCATTGCAGGGGCTCACCCCACAGACTCCAGGATCCTATGGGTGCTAAAACCCAGATCGCCCACACCCCACTGCAGGGGCTCACCCCACAGACCCTGGCATCCTATGGGTGCTGAGACCCAGCCCCCCTGGACCCCACTGCAGGGACTCAACCCATGAAACCCCACGATCCTATGGGTGCTGAGACCCAGCCCCCCTGGACCCCACTGCAGGGTCTTACCCCTCAGGTAACCCCGGGACCCTATGGGTGCTGAGACCCTGCCCTAGGCAGGGCCCCTGATGAGGGGGGCAGGTCCCAAATCCAGGCAGGTGACAATCACTGGGTTCAGAGTGAATGCCCCACAGGCCGTGCCCACCCTGCCCTCATGTCTGAGCACCCAAAGTGGGGGTGATGTGCCCCCAAATGGGTGCTGGTCCCACAAACAGGCAGGAGAACCATCCTTAGTTTCAGTGCCCGCTCCCCCGGCCCCGCCCTTACCTGTGGTGACGAGCGGGTGGGCGGTGGTGGGGGCAGCTCGGGCCAGGGGGTGGGCGCGGGCCTCGGGCCCCTCGGCCTTTTTGAGGTGCTCGGTGGGGGGTCGGGCGGGGGACCCCGAGGGGGCCGGCCCGGGGTGGGGCACCCCCGGGGGGCTTCATGGCCAGGGCGGGGAGGTGGGGGCCGGCGGGGCGCAGGGCCAGGCTGTGCACCTGCAACGGCAGCGGGTCAGGGCCTGGGAGGCTGGTGTAGGTTTGGGGGGCTGGGGGTGGTCGGGCAGCTCACCTGGGGGGCGGTGGGTGGTGGGGCAGGCGGTGGGGCCGCAGGAGGGGCCGGTGCGGGGCTCTCGGGCCGGACGGCGCTGACGGGGCCCGTGGGCGTGAAGATGAGCTGAGGGCACAGACAGGGTGGGTGGTCCCTCAGGGCAGGGTGGCACCCCATGTGTGATCCCCCCTCCCCCCCACATTGTCCCTACAGGGGTGGCAGCCCCTGTGTGACTGCTCTGTATCCCTACAGGGTGGCACTCCTTGTGTAACCCCCTCTGTGTCCCTATGGGGTGGCACCCTTTGTGTAACCGCCTCTGTGTCCCTATGGGGTGGCACCCCATGTGTGACCCTCCTGTGTGTCCCTTATGGGGTGGCACATGTGTAAGGTGGCATGGAAACCCTATAGGGTCTGAGCACCCCCAGGGGAATGGGGGGCACCCTATAGGGTCCAGACACCCCCTACAAAAGCAAAGAGCACCCGCTTGGGCACCCCTCGATGGGGTGATGGGCACTCCATTCAGAGTAACGGGTACCCTACAGGGACAGGGCCCCTTATGGGGTCCCAGGCACCCCACACCAAGACCATGGGCACCTCCATAGGTCCTGGGCTCCCCAGAGCACGACCGTGGGCACCCCAGAGCACAACCACGGGCACCCTATGAGTCCCAGCCACCCCACAGTGAGACAATGGGCACACCCCATGGGTCCTGGCTATCCCACCATGGGATGATGGGCCCCCCACGAGCCTTAGGCACCCACAGTAGGATGATGGGCACCCTATGGGTCCCAGCCACCCTGCTGAAGGACCATGGGGACCCTATGGGTTCTGGGCACCCCAGAGCAAGACAATGGGCACCCAATGGGTCCCAGCCATCCCACTATGGGATGATGGGCCTCCCATGGGTCTTGGCCACCCCACAGCAGGATGATGGGCCCCCCACAAGTCCTGGGCACCCACAGCAGAAGGATGGGCACCCTAATGGGTCCCAGCTACCCCACAGTGAGAGAATGGGCACCCTAAGGGTTCTGGGCACCCACAGTGGGATGATGGGCACCCAGTGGGTCCCGGCTATCCCACTATGGGATATGGCCTCTCATGAGTCCTGGACACCCACAGTAGGATGATGGGTACCCTATGGGTCCCAGCCACCCTGCTGAAGGATCTTGAGGACCCTGTGAGTCCTGAGCACTCCACAATGAGGCAGTGGGCATCTAATGGGTCTGGACATGCCTGCAGTGGGATGATGGGCACCTTATGGATCCTGGCCATCCCACTGTGGGATGATGGTCTCCCAGGATTCCTGGGCACCCGTAGCAGGATGACGGGCACCCTCTGGGTCCCAGCCACCCTGCTGAAGGACCATGGGGACCCTAAGGGTTCTGGGCACCCCACAGTGAGACGACGGGCACCCCATGGGTCTGGACCACCCCACAGCAGGATGACAGGCGCCCCGTGGGTGCCGGCTGCCCCTCACCACGATGCCCTCCACATCCCACCGGCCCCACAGTGCCGCGGGGTGCCCCTTACCATCTGTGCCCGCAGGTACATCTGTGCCTGGCTGGCGGTGAGGGCGGGTGAGGCGGCGTTGCCCAGCAGCACCGCCTGCTGCGCGATGCCCGAGGCGCCGGGGCCCACGCTCTGCGCCCGGTTCAGCAGCTGCGCCGCCGCCGGCGACGTCGCCAGGTTGATCTGGAACAGGGTGTCGGGACAAGGTCAGGGTGCTGGCACAGGTGGGCGCTGCTGTGCCGAGCGCACGGGGGGGACTCACCGTGGGCTGCTGCGCCGGGGCGGGCTGGGTACCGTTGCCTGCCGAGGAGCCGCTCTGCCGGTTGGCCGCCAAGCTCGCCTCGGGGAGAAGCGGAACGTGAGGGGGGTGTGCCAACCCCGAGCACCCGGGGGTGCCCCCGGGGTGGCCCTACCTGCTGGACGGCTGCCAGGCTCTGGAGCTGGGCGCTGGTGAGGTGCTGCTGCTGCAGGGCGGCCGTCTGCAGCATGAGGTGCTGCTGCTGGGCCGCGTACATCTGCTGCAGGTACTGCGCCGCCGTGTTGGGCTGCCGGTGCAGCGCCTGCTGGATCACCTGTGGTGGCAGGGGGGCAAACGTGGCCCTGGGCAGCGCCATGACCCCCCAGAGCTCCCCAGGAAACCCCCCAGGGCTGTACCTGCACGGTCTGGCGGTCAGGGATGCCGCTGTACACGGAGATCTGGGGCCCGGGCGGGCGCGTGGCCGCGGTGCTGGCGGCGGTCGGGGCGGTGCCCCCGGAGCTGCTGGCGGGGGCCGGGGCCGGGAGCTGCTCGTTCTCCATGGTGGGGCCGGGCAGGGGGGTCGGGTCAGGCTAGAGCTGGGGGAGAAAGGGGTGAGAGGGGCACCCTGCAGCACCCTGAGGCTGGGCTACCACGGTTAGAGGAGCACCCCGCAAAAACCCATGGCCGGGTGAGGGCCAGGGGCCAGGACTGAGGAGGAGGAGGAAGGTGGGAGGGAGGAAGAACAGCAGGAGGTGCCATGGTTCATCCTCCTCCACCAAAACTGGGGGTAAACACCCTGGGAGATGGGGAATGGGAGCATGGACAGAGGGAGGGATGGACAGGACAGAGGGAAGGAGGAAGGGAAGGATGGGAGCAAGAGAGATGGACAGAAGGATGGACTGGAGGAGGAGTGGGATGAAGGGATGGACAGACAAAAGGAAATGAAGGAAGGAGGGAAGGAGAGAAAGAAATGAGGGAAGGGAAGGAGGGAAGTAGGAAAGGGTCAAAGAACAGAAGGAAGTAGGGAAGAGATGGAAGGAAAGAGACCAAGGGAAAGGTGGAAGTAGGAACGGACAGACAGAAGGACTGGTGGAAGTAGGAAAGGGATGAAGGGAAGGATGGAAGGAGAGACAGAATGACAGACCAGGGGAGGAAAGGGATGGACAGAAGGATGGATGGATGGATGGATGGACAGAAAGGGGAAAGGGATGGGAGGAGGGAGGAAGGATGGATGAAAGTAAGGAAGGAAGAAGGAAAGGAAAGGATGGTAAGAGCAGAAGGAAGGATGGAAGGAATGATGGATGGATCAATGGATCTAAGGATGGAAGAAAGGGACGATGGATGGATGGACAGAAAGACAGACAGAATGGATGGAAGAAAGGCCAGATGTCTGTAGCAGAGGGACACAGGGACAGGAGGAAGGACGGAGGCAAGGGGAGATGGAAGGAAGAGCAGAAAGAAGGAAGAAGAGGGATGAATGGATGGCAGGAAGGGGATGGACAGTGGGACAGGAGGAGGACAGGGACAAAGGGATGGTGCTGGGGGGGGGTGCAGGGGGGTTTTGGGCAGCACCCCCATCGCTGCCACCACTGTGCCACCACAAGGCTCCGTGGTCACCAACAGCCACCCATGGCCACCAGCCGTGTCACCCATCCCTGCCGAGCCCCTGCAGTGCCACTGTCACAGCTGTCCCAGCAGGACCAGGCACAGGGGGGTGGGGCACTGCAGACCACGGTGGGTGGCCTTGGTGGCCACAGTGGGTGGCCAGGCCACCCCAGCCCCAGCCTGGCACCCAAGGGACGTGGCAGCGGTGACGTCCCAGCCTCGGCGGCCTGTGGGGCCATGTCACCTGGGGGTGCCACTCCCAAAGCAGGGGTGGGACATCCACTGGTGTCCCCAGCCCTGTGTGTGGCCTGTGACACTTCCCACCCTCTGCTCTGTGTCCTGGCACGTGCCCACCATGAGCTGGAGAGATTTTGGGCATCCCCTTCCCTGCTGGACAGCCTTTTGTCCCCACTGGTGGTACTGGTGTGACACGGGGTCACCACAGCGCCCAACACAGAGGGACCATGCCAGGCCCATCCAGAGCCAATCCCCCTGGGATGGGCACAGCCCAGGAAGCTCCTGGCAGCTCCCACCCTCTGTGGTTGGAACCCCCCAGGAATTTGGGGTGTCAGAGCGGGCACTTTTGACCCAGAGGTGACAGAGGATACCTGCTCAACCCCCCCTAAAAAAAACACCATTAAACCCACTCAAAACAACAAAAAGGGAAGATCCCAAAATCTTCAGCAATCAGCAGGACACACCAAGATGGGGGGATTTGGGGGATCCCCCAGCTGGGACAGGGAGGAGCCACAGAGCTGGAATTCCTGATCTGAGCCCAAAATGGGGGGGGGAAAAGGGCAGAACGATGTGGGGGTGAGGAAATCATGGGGAGGGTGTGGAATGGGGGTACAGGTAGGATAGAGGGAGGGAATATGGGATGGGAGGAGGAATATGGGATAGAGGGAGGGAATATAGGATAGAAAGAAGGAATAATAAGGGGGTGCAGAACAAGGGGGGTGCAAGATGTAGGTGAGGGGTGGGATATAGGGGGGGTCAGAGATAATATGAAGGGGTCAGATAAAATAGTAGAGATTGGAAAACGTGGGGGGGTGGGAATAATAATAATAAGGGGGTGTGAAATCACCAAGGGGGTGCAAGATGGGGAGTGGGATATGATGGTGGGGGGTGGAAAACAGTAGTGGGGAGGACAGAGGAAAGAGGGGTAGAGATAAAATTGGGGGTGGGGGGATCAGAGATAAGAGCAGGCACTGGAATGTGATGGTGGGGAGTGGGAAATAATAACAAAGGGGTGTAAAATAAGAGGGGGGATGCAAGATGCTGGTGAGGGGTGGGACGTGATTGTGGGGGGTGAAAAACACCAGTGGAGGAGGGGGGATAGAAAATAAGGGGGTCTGATATAATAGTAAGAACTGGAATATGAGGGGTGGCCAATAATAATAATAATAATAATCAGGGGGTGCAGAAGCAGAGGAGGGGGTGCAGGAGGATGGGGAGGGGATAGAGACATGGGTGGGGGTGGGAGGGAAATGTGGGGGTCAGACAGGATAGAGGGGGCCAGAGATAACAGCTGGCATTGGAATATGATGGTGGGGGTGGGTAGTAATAATAAGTAATAATAATAATGATAATAATAATAATAAGAAGAAGAAGAGGGTGCAGAAGCAGAGGTGCAAGATGGAGGGGACTGGGGGGGGAAACACTAGTGATGGGTGGGACAGAAGACAGGGGGGTCAGATACAATACTGGGGGGTTCAGACAATACAGGGGGCTGAGATAATATGAGGGCACTGGAGAAAGATGGTGGGGGTGAGCTAACAATAATAATAATAGGGTGCAGAAACAGAGGAGGGGGTGCAGGAGGGTGGGGAGGGGGCAGGCGGGGGTGGGGTGCAGCAGGGTCCCCACGGGGGCTGTGTGGGGTCTCTCTGTAATCTCTCAGGGGCTCTCTGGGGTCTCTCTGGGGTCCGTATGGGGTCTCTAAGGGTTCTCTCTGGGGTCCCTAAGGGATCTCTAATGGGTCTCTCTGGGGTCCCTAGGGTCTCTAATGGGTCTTTCTGGGGTCCCTCTGGGGTGTCTAATGGGTCTCTCTGGGGCTTTCTGGAGTTCCTCCGGGGTCTCTAACGCGTCTTTCTGGAGGCTCTCTGGGGTCCCCATGGGGTCTCTCTGGGGGTCGCGGGGCGGCGCGGCCCGGGCGGGTAAACTGAGGCACGGCGCGTGCGCATGCGCGTCCCCCTCTTTCCTTTCCTCCCACTTTCCTCCTCCCTCCCTCCCTCAGAGCCCCCCCCCGGCCCAGACAAAGCCCGGCGGGGCCCGGCGGCGGCGGCACAGCGCGGGTACCTGCGGGCCGGGCCGGGCGAGGCGGCGGTGCCATGGCCCGGAGGAGGGTCCCGTTGCGGGGTCGGGGGGTGCCGTGGCGGGCAGGGGTCCCGGCGGGGCCGGGCCAGGCCCGCTCCCTCCTGTCCCTCCTCCTCCTCCCTTCCCTCGGCCCGTCCCTCCTCCCTCAGGCGGCGGCGGCGGCGGCGGCGCGAGGCCGCGCCTCATTTGCATGCCCGCGTCACGTGGGGCCGCCCCCGGCCAATCGCCGGCACGCCCCTCCTCGCCGGGGGACACGCCCACCCCGCGCCGCGCGCGCTCGCCATGGCAACCGCGCGGGGGGCGGGGGATGGTCGTCATGGTAACGGGGAGGGGAGGGACAGGGGAAAGGATGGGAATGAGGGGAGGGGGACGGGATGGGAATGACGGGGGGAAAGGGGAGGGGGAAGGTGCTGTTCGGGGGCACCCCCGGCACGCCGAGGGATGGGACTGGTGGGATGCGGTGGCGGGGGATGGATGGATGGTGGCACCGCGCCCTGCTGTCACCGGGGGTCACCCGGGGGATGCTGAGCGTCCGTACCGGTGGGCACCGGGCCTTGGTGCTGCCTGGGGTCATCCGGAGTCACCCTGGGGGTGCTGAGCGTCGGTGCCGGTGAGAACCCACAGCGTGGGGCTGGTGGCACCGGGCACGGGTGTTACCTGGGCTCACCCCAAGGATGCTCAGGGCCGGTGCTGGTGGGATGCGGTGGCGGGAGGATGGTGGCACTGGTCCCCGGTGCTGCCTGGGGTCACTCGGGGTCATCCCGGCGTGTCCAGAGCCGGGACCGCTGCGCTGCTGCACGGCAGGGATGGTGGCACCGATCCCCGCCACCACCGGGGGTCACCCGGGGTCACACCGGGGCTGCCCAGGGCCGGGACCGGCGGGAATCCCGTTCCTGGTGCTGCCTGGGGTCACCCCAAGGATGCTCGGGACGATGGAGGGACGGTGTCACCGCGCCCCGCCGCCACCGGGGGTCACCCGCGGTGGCGCCGGGGATGCTCGGCAGCGGCAGCGGCGGAGGCGGCGGTGCAGGGGTGGTGGCACCGCTTCCCGGTGCTGCCGGGGCTTGCTCGGGGTCACCCCAAGGGTGCTCAGGACCCCCACGGGCGTGATGCTGCACCGCAGGGATGGTGCCACCGGACCCCGCCGCCACCGGGGGTCACTCGGGGTCACCCCGGGGGCTGCCCAGGGCCGGGACCGGCGGGAGGTGGTGGCGCTTGTGGGGTCTGTCCCCGGAGCGCGGGTCTGTCCCCGGTGTTTCCCGGGTGTCCCCGGGGGTCTCAACGCCGGTGCCGGTGGGAGGTGGTGGCAGGGGTGGTGTCACCTCTCCCAGTGCTCCCGGGGGGTCACGGCGGGGCTCGCGGCTCTGGCAGTGGGTCACCCGTGGGTCACCCGTGGGTCACCCGTGGCCACCAAACCCCTCCAGCTTCGGGGGGGGTCTGTCCCGCCTGAGGACACTGGGGGGATTGGGGGATACTGGGTGGGCTATGGGGAGGAACGGGGGCCATGGGGGGCACTGGGGGGGTTCTAAAGGCTATGGGGGGGATCCCAGGGGAACTGGGAGAGACTGGGGGAGCACGGGTGGCCTGTGGGGAGCTATGAGGGTACGGGGCAGTCATGGGGGGCTATGGGGGGCTATTGGGCCACTGGTTGGCTATAGGGAGACTGGGGGGACTATAGGAGCACTGGAGAGCTACTAGGGGGGTTTTGGGGATACTGGAGGCTATGAGGGGATACTGGGGGCTCTGGGGTTACAGTGGGCTGTGGGGGCTATGGGGGCACTGGTTGGCTCTAGGAGTCCTGGAGAAGCTGTGGGGAGGGGCACTGGGAAGTTACTGAGGGGCTATGGGGGATACTGGGGTTCTACGGGGGCACTGGGAGCTATAGGGGGTACTGGAGGCTATGGAGGTTACTGGGGGTTATGGGGGTACTGAGGGGCTATGGGGGCTATGTGGAGTACTGGGGGCTAGGGGTACACTGGGGGGCTCTGGGGCACTGGAGATTACTGGGGTTATGGGGAGTACTTGGGGCTATGAGGGGCACTGGGCGGCTATGGGGTACTGGGGAGCTCTATAGGGTTACTGGGGGCTATAGGGGGCACTGGGGGCTATGGAGGTTACTGGGGGTTAGGTGGGGAGTTCTTGGGGCTATTGGGGGGGCACTGGGGTTATCAGGATTACTGGGGAGCTATGGGGATACAGGGGTACTGAGGGCTGTGGGGGTTACTATGGGGGTTATGTGGGGTTCTTAGGGGGCTATAGGGGGTAATGGGGGCTATGGGGGCACTGGGGGGCTGTGGGAGTACTGGGGGGCTATGGAGGTTACTGGGGCTTACGGGGAGTATTGGGGAGCTCTGGGGCGGTACTGGGGGCTCTGGGGGTCATGCCCGGAGCTAACCCCCCCTTCCCCCGTGGGCTGCCCGGGCGGTGCCACGAGGGGCCGCTGCCGCCCCGCGGGGACCGGCCGGGAGGGACCGAGCGCTGCTTCCGCCTTCCCAGCATTTCCCGGGTTCCCCCCTCGTTTTCTCCCCATTTACACCCCCCCTCTTTTCCCTGTTTTTCCTCTGTTTCCTCTGTTCCCCCCCTTTTATCCCCTTTTCCCTGTTTTTCCCGTTTCCCCTCGTTTTCCCCCCCTTCTTGTTTTTCCTCTGTTTCTCCCTGATTTTCCCTGCTTTTCCCTGTTTTTCCTGTCCCCCCACCCCTGTTTCCCCCTTTCATCCATTTCCCATTTGTCCTCTGTTTTCCCCCATTTCTCCTCTTTCTCTCTGATTTCCCCCCCTTTCCCTCTCCTTTTCCCCATTTTTCCTGTTTCTCCCCCGTTTTGCCCCATTTCCTCAGTTTTTCCTCTGATACCTGCTGGTTTTCCTCTGGATTCCCTCCTTTCCCCCTTTCCCTCTTTTTCTCTGTTTCCCCCTGGTTTCCCCCCCTTCCTTCCCCTCTTCCCCTCTTTCTCTCCCTTTATCCTCCTTCCCACACTTTTCCCCCAGTTTTCACCCCTTTTCCCCTGGTTTTCCTCCTTTTCCCATTTATTCCCTTTCTCCCTCCTTTTTTCCCCTCTTTTTTCCCTCACCCCCTTTTTTTCCTGCCCTTTCCCTTTCCTGCCCCAGGGATCCCACATTCCCAGATCCCGTCCCTTCCCACAAGCACCTCAAGCAGTTCATGGCCCAAATCCTGCCCTTTTCAGCCCAAAAAAGCCTCGGCAGGTGACAAAGTCTCCCCAGGACAGGGCTTGGGATCCTCTTGGCATCCCCAATCCCTAATCCCAAGGCTGGGATCCAATTTTGGAGTGGGATGGACCCCCACTCCTGCATCCACCCCTCATCCCTGGATCCCTGGAATTTTTAGGATGGGAAGGGTCCCCCATTCCTCATCCCACACCTCACCCCTGGATCCTTAATCATTTTGGGATAGGGTGAATCCCACATCTGGCTCTCGTCCCTGGATCCCTAATTTTTGGGATGTGATGGATTCCCCATCTCCCATCCAGCCCCTCATCCCTGGATCCCTATAATTTTTAGGATGGGTCCCACCATTCCTCATTTCACCTCTCATCCCTGGATCCCTATAATATTGGGATAGGATGAGTTCCACATCCCACATCCACCTCTCATCCCTGGATTTCTAGAATTCTTAGGATGGGATGGGTCCCCTATTCCTCATCCCCCCCTCATCCCTGGATCCTTACCATTTTTAAGATGGGATGGATCCCCATTTCTCCTCCTATCCCTCATACCTCGATCCCTATAATTTTGGGATGGATCCCACATCCCACCTCTCCTCCCCACATCCAACTACTTATCCCTGGATCCTTATAATTTTCAGGATGAGATGGTTCCCCCAATGCACATCCATCCTGGATCCCTATAATTGTTAGGACAGGAAGGATCCCCCATTCCATATCCAACCCTCATCCCCAGATCCCTTATTTTTAGGATGGGATGGATCCCCCATTCCAATTGTCACGCCTCATCCCTATAATTTTGGGATAGGATGGATCCCACAGTCTGTATTCCACCCCTCATCCCTGGATCCCTGTCATTTTTAGGATGGGTCCCACATTCCACCCCTCATCCCTGGATCCCTATCATTTTTAGGATCCACCCCTCCTCCCTTGATGCCTGTAATTTTTAGGATGGGATGGATCCCACATTCCTCATCCCACCCCTCATCCCTGGCTCCCTCTAATTTTTGGGATAGGAAGGGTCCCACATTTTATATCCCACCCCTCCTCCCTGACTCCCTGTAATTTTGGGATAGGATGGATCCCCCATTCCGTATCCACCCCTCATCCCTGGATCCCTATAATTTTGGGATAGGATAGACCCCACATTTTATATCCCACCCCTCCTTCCTGGCTCCCTATAATTTTAGGATAGGATGGATCCCACATTTTATATCCCACCCCTCCTTCCTGGCTCCCTATAATTTTAGGATAGGATGGATCCCACATTTTATATCCCACCCCTCATCCCTGGCTCCCTATAATTTGGGATATCATTTGGGAATGGAATAGACCCCCCCACCAACGCCGCCTCATCCCGGCTCCTCTCTCCCCCTGGAATTCCCCCCCGCTCCCGGAGCCGCCGTTCCTCATGGATCCCTCTCCCGTCTCCCCGCAGTTCCGGGCTCTCTCCAGGGAAGCGCCGGGAAAAGCTTTTCATCCCCAATCCATATTGTTCCCCGCAGCGGGGCGCCCATTCACGCTCCCACCAGGAGCAGGGTTGGGTTTCCAGCCGGAAATTTCCCTCCGAACGGACAAAAAAAAGTCATTTTTTTACCCCCCCCCGCCCCCAATAAAAAAAAACTAAAGGAGGAGGAGGGAAAGAAAAAAAAAATATATAAAATTCCTCGTCCTCCTTCCCGCAGGTTGGACATTCCAAATATTTCTGGATCCAAAGGGGTCCCGAGGGAACAAAACACGGACACGGCGCGGCCCCCCCCGAACAATGGGCCGGATATTCGGGAGGGGGGAGCGGAGCCCGCGCCGGAGCTCGAGCATATCCGGCCCCAAATCCCGGGGATTTTTGGGAAAAAGGCCCCTAATTTGGAGAAAAAAAAATTGATTTTTTTTTAAAGGGAAAAATAGGGGGGTTCGGGGAGAAATAGGGGGTTTTAAAGGGAAAAAACAAGGGGGTCGTGGAAAAAATTGGGGTT